TATATATATATATATATATATATATATATATATATATATATATGCACTAATAGTATATATGTATTGAATAATATATTAATAATAATATATTGCGCACGTCCATTGAACCTCCATTAGACATTTTTATAAATGTCTATTAGATGTTATGTGGATCATTGACGAAGATTTCATGGAAGTTCGATGGACGACAAACGGACGTTAGATGGATCATTAATAGAGACTTAATACCCAGACAACACAAAACATTTACAAAATATTTATAAGATTTATTTGATTATTTTATAAATATTTACCATAAATGTTTTTATGACCTTAGATTCAGATGATAAATACTTATCATAAATATTATATAAAAATATTTATTAAAATATATACATTTTTCTCTTTACTTGAATTTTTCTTAAATTTTATTGTTTAACACTCTATTTAATTCAATTTAAGTTATACTTCGAAATTTCGCTAACTATTATAGAGATTCGAACCTGAGATCTCTGGTTCTTGAGTCGCTTTACCTACATCACTTACCTAACTGCATCACTGTCACTTTGACTGAGAGGCGCTTCGTATTGTATACATATGGTATCCATGTACGAAAACAAATAATTTATTTAAAAGAAGAAAGTAGATCCTTTTAAATGTAAAAAATATGTTTAAAAAGTATGTAAAAAGTATATTTAAAAAAATATCTACTTATGTGTGTCTTAAAAGTAAGTAAAATACAAATAAATCATTCTGTAAATTTAAATAAATTGTTTTCTGGTATATAATAAAAAAATTTTAATTTAAAACACGAAAAATATACTTTTAATATTAGAAAATAATTTCTAATATGTAATTAATATTATAATTATTAATATTTATAATAATTAGTAATTTATATTTATAAAATAGTAATATTAGATTTATAAAATAATTTACTTATATTTCATTTACTTTTAAAACAAGCAAATATTTATTTAAATACAGTTTTTACATTAAAAAAAACCAATTTTTTTTCTTCTAAGGAAATTATTTGCTTATTTTTATATATAGATATTTTTAATTTAAAAAATCATTTTTTTCTAGAACTTCATAATTGTACAATTTATTTTACAAACTTAAAAAATATTACTTTATATTTATTACATTTTTTCTAAAATCTAACAAATATTTTCTTGAGTTGAGAAATTATATTTAACAAAATATATTTCTTTGATTTAGAGAATTTCTTTCAGTATACATTACTAAAATTTAAATTTTGATTTTCTTATTTCTTTATTAATTTAATAATAATAAATAATTATATTTATTTTTTTATGTATAATAATTATAGAAATATTTACAAAATGTTATTACAAATATTTATTTTTTGTTTACTATAAATATTATATAAAATATTTAGCATATATTTTAATAATATTTTGAATAAAGATTTTGATACTTTTTCCTCTTTATGTATATAAAATATTTATATAATATTTAAAAAAAATAATTCGAGGTAAATATTTATAAATATTTATCACAAATATTGTGTGCTATCTGTGTAGAGTTTCCACTGGACGTTCATAAGACTTCCAATAAACGGCCAATAGACATTGTCGAATATATCGCCACTAGACATCTTCATAGATGTCCATTAGACGTAACTTGGGCCATTAATAGAAGTATCGTGGAGCCTTGGTGGACGAGATAACCATAGAAGGAGAAGAGCGTACTAGGTGGCGGCGGGACGCCGTGCGTTCGAAATATGCGTATCTTTTTCGTTCCAAAGAGAGAAAAATACCGAGAGCGCGGTTTTGCTAGGCCGGGACTCGAACCCAAGTCTTTCGCTTGCCGGGTGACTGCTTTAAACCACTGAGCTATCTGACACTCCACGCTCACGAAACTCTCCTCTCCCTAGATAACGCTCAGGGATGCCGTTCGGAAACGACATCTCTTGCGCGATCCCGAGCGCACGGCGACTACAGAGAGAAACAATGTTACTGCACCAAATGGTACAGCTGTTAACAATAAACCGACATTATATGGATTATTAATAGAGAGTTCATAGAGCCTCGATGTACGACAAACAGACGTGGATCATTGATAGACGATTCATCGTATAGAAGTAGGATGATAGAGATAGGATGAATGTCTAATGGATATATTTGATTTCCACCGTAGAAATAAAGTCCCATAGAGCTCTAGATGTAGGATGGATCTCTAATGGACATCTATTTGCTTTCCATCGTGGAGATAGACGTCCCATGGAGTTTTGGAAGTTTGATGGACATCCACTGGATGTCAATTTCTATGTGGGTATAATTACGACATGCTGGATTTGCATGTTGGTTCTTAGAGAGATATGTACTCTTTGATAGTCTTCAGATAGTTCGCTCATTTACACTCTCGACTATATATATACAGGGTGTTTAATTTTAAACGCCTCAAGCAAAAATCTCGAAAAAGATGTTAGATATAGAAAAATGTTTCAGACAAAAGTTGCATGGTTTGAAGGGAGCCACATGATGAAAATATCGACTTGATCTTGAGTGACCTTTTCAAGATCTGGTCAATGTGATCAATGTTTTCTTAAATGGAACCTCCCATTTTTTATTTCTTTTATATGTCTACTATTGTCTTTGATCAAGCCATTCCCAAAATATGAAATTTCAAAGTTGACCTACCGCCGGTAATCGCATTACCCGATGCACATCGCGGGGAAATTGAATTATCCTACTCTCTTTTGTCTGTTATTAATAAATACTTTGAATTCAATTTCGAGCTACTAGTACGAATTTCTTATCGAAACAGATCGCTAAATATTATTATTCGCCTATTGCACTTTCTCTCACCGATACATCTTATTTTTGCATTTTAGTCATTCCCACAATTGTATTTCTGATTAGTTTTATAATACCCGATTATTTTCAGGAAGAAATTATGGACCTTTGGTTAGAAACAAGTGGTGCTAATTTTCGACAGGCTTCACGTATTTATGCACAGCGACACCCAGGAAAAAGACACACAGATCATAAAACAATTAAACGTTGTGTTCAAAGAGTAAAGGATGGCCATGTAAAATTACGTCGTCGTCGACGTCAAGTTCCATCTCTCCGTGAAATTGATGTGTAAGGAGTTGCTATATTAAATCCTGGTACAAGCCTCAGACAAATTGAACGTCTTAATAATGTAACGTTTATCTGCATCGCGATATTTAAGATACAATAAATTTCATCCATATCGCATCATCCATATCAAGAATTTAATGATAATGACCATCGTTGTAGATTGTGCTTTTTCCAATCGATAAATGAATCAAGATCTCAATTTCTTTTCATACGTAATGTTTCATGTGTAATTTCGGATGAAATTAATTTTAATAACCGAGGCCAATCGTTATAATTACCGTTATTGGTCGAATCAGAATCTCCACTGGCTTAGGCAAATATCGCATCAACATCAATGGTCTTTTAACGTATGCTATAGATTAGTGAATGAACATGTAGTAGGATCACACTTTTTCGACGGCCATTTAACAGTTAACTGTTATAACAACTTTCTTTAAAATGAACTAGTATTTTCGGAGAATGTTGATTTATAAGACAACACTTATGGTTTCAGCAGGATGGCGCACCTGCTCATAGAGCTTGTGTTGTTCGTTGGACGCTGAATAACGTTTTTCGAAACGGCTGGCTTGGCATAGGTGAAACTGTAGAATTTTCACCACGTTCATCAGACTCGACCGCTTTGGATTTTTTTCTATAGGGCTATTTGAAAAATATTATTTACCAATTTGAGCCTACGACACTCGAAGATATGAAATGTCTGAAATGGAAACATATCGAAATATTTCACTAACATTGCAGAGGGTAGAGAACAGATTTCGAAATCGGATGAACTTATGCATTGGCCAAGCATTGAAAAATGAATGGCAAAAATATCGAAAAATAGAAGATGCAGAAAAATGTTTCAGACAAAAATTGCATGGTTTACACATGCAAAAGTTGCAAGGAAGCCACATGATAAAAATATCTAATTGAGTCACTTTTTCAAGGGCAGGTCAATGTGACCGATGTTTTCTTAAATAGAACTTCCCACTTTTTTATTGCATTTTCTTGTAGCTTTTATCGAGACGTTTTCAAAACACAACCTACTTTTGTCTTTTGCCCAAGCCATTTCCAAAATATGAAGCTTCAAAATTGACATACCGTCGGCATTTAAAATGGGACACCCTGTATGTATACATGGTGTTTCCAAAACCATTTAGTATTTATATGGTAGACAGTACGTACCATACTGAGTGCAAAAACCTTAGTGAAAATAAATCGAAAGTTCAACCGTTTTTAAGATATAAATTTTTGTATTTTAGCATCATGAATGACTTACTGGCTTTACAGAAGGTGTTCCACATGTTCTCCTTCCATTTCCATATATGCTTGGCTTCTTCTTTTTACAGAGTCGCAAACTCTCGAAAATTCCAGGTTTCTGCCAAATTATTTCATAAGTACGCTGAATTCGGTTACATAATTCTTTTATTTCATTTGTTGGCGAAGAATACACTATGTTTCGACTTTTTTTTATGGGGATATTTGAAAAGCAAAGTGTATTCTTCATCAATAAATGACATATATTCTGTCAAATAAATACCGGGAATTGTTCATTTCAAAAGCCGGTGTGAAATTTATAAAAATAAATTTTTTACTGTAAGTTGGTACCAGTGTATCTAATTGTAATATAGAGTTTTGACGTCACCTGTCGTCTTCGACTGAAGAAAACATCGAAAAAGTGAAGAAAATACTAATGGAAGGAAACACAATATTATCTGGGCGTCATGAGGCGTTTAAGAAAGAATTTTCGCAGGAAAAGGCCAGATTTGTGGAAGAACAATTTTTGGATTTTGCACCACGATAATACGCCACCCCATACATCGACTCTTGCACACAAATTTCTTACCAAAAATTCAACGAATGTCATCAACAAAGCACCGTATTCGCCAGATTTGGTGTGACTTTTTCCTGTTCCCCAAACATAAACTACCACCTCATGGAAGACGTTTTGAATTCATTAAAACCATGAAACCAAATTCGCAGGAGGAGCTGCAGGCCATACCGGAAAGTGCTGATAAAAAGTATTTCGACGACTGAATTATTCGTTGACATAAGTGTATCGCTTCAAATAGCATCTATTTTGAAGGCGACAAAATAAATTTGGATGATTAAACCAATATTTTGTTTTTCACTGAACAATTCCCGGTATTTATTTGACAGAATGTAGAAAAATTATGTGACCGAATCCAGCATGCTTGTGAAATAATTCGACAGAGACCTGGAATTTTGGACAAAGTTCGTGACTCTGTAAAAACAAGATGCCAAACATGTATGGAAATGGAAGGAGGACTTGTAGAACACCTTGTAAAGCTAGTAAGTCATTTATGATGCTGACATATAAAAATGTTTATATTTCAGAAGCATTTGATCTATATTCACTAAGATTTTTTTACTCAATATGGTGTGTACTATATATAATATACCAGGTGTACAAGTATGAAATGCGGATTTGAGAAAACAGATGGCGTACCAATGCAGTGTGCGGTATAAAGATTTGACATTTATGCCATTTTGTTGTGCCATCAACAAGTGTCAAACACACATGAGTGATAAATTGAAAAAGTGTTTGCATAGTGTTGTGTTGCTGTGTTCAATATGTCGAAATTTATACCAAATAAAGAGCATTCGCGGACAGCATTAATTTTTTGTTTTCATTTAAAGAAAACTGCTGCTGAATCATACCGATTACTTCGAGAAGCTTATGGTGAACATGCTCCATCGCAAGATACGTGTGAACGATGGTTTCGGCGTTTCAAAAGTGGTGATTTCGATGTTGCAAACAAGGAACACGGAAAACCGCCAAAAAGATACGAAGATGTGGAGTTGCAAGCATTGTTGGATGAAGATGATTCACAAACACAAATACAACTCGCAGAGCAATTGAACATTAGCCAACAAGCTGTTTCCAATCGCCTACGAGAGATGGGAAAGATTCAGAAGATCGGCAAATGGGTACCACATGAGTTAAACGAGAGGCAGATAGAAAGGTACAAAAACACATGTGAAATTTTGCTTGAACGATACAAAAGAAAGTCGTTTTTGCATCATATCGTTACTGAGGCTGAAAAGTGGGTTTATTTTGAGAATCCCAAGCGCAAAAAATCATGGGTAAACCCAGGCGCACCATCCACATTGACCGCAAGACCAAATCGCTTTGGCAGGAAGACGATGCTATGTGTTTGGTGGAACCAGAAGAGTGTGGTCTATTATGAGCTGTTAAAGCTTGGTAAAACGGTTAATACCAAACGCTATCAACAACAATTAATCGATTTGAACCGTTCACTGCTTGAAAAACGACCAGAATATCAAAAGAGACAATGCAAGATCATTTTTCTCCATGACAATGCTCCATTACATACGGCAAAACTGGTTCGCGACACGTTGGAAGCACTCAGCTGGAAAGTTCTACCCCATGCGGTTTACTCACCAGACTTGGCTCCTTCCGATTACCACTTATTTGCATCGATGGGTCACGTACTTGCTGAGCAGCGCTTTGGTTCGTACGAAAATGTGAAAAAATGGTTCGATGAATGGTTCGCGGCAAAAGGGGAAGATTTTTACTGGCGTGGTATCTAAAATTGCCCGAAGATGGGAAAAATGTGTAACTAGCAATGGAGCATACTTTGAATAAACCTCTTTTTATCATTCTTCCGAATTTAACGTGTTTTTTTGGAAAAAAAATCCGCATTTCATACTTGTACACCTGGTATATACTGTGTAATTTTTGGAAACTATTTATTATATAAATACGATGGTTTTTGGAAACATCCTGTATATAAGGTGATTCAAAACAATCTTTGAATATTAAAAGTACAAAATCTTGATAAAATTCTAAGATATTTTTCTTTTGGCAAAACTTCGGCAAACGCGTAATTGTTAAGTTATTATAAAAAATAGCCTATTACGGGCCGAGTTTAAAAGGTAGATAGGGGCGGCGCAACTCACTGTGACACGTTGGCACTAATGTTGATTGCCCGCTACAGTCAATACTTCGCCACAATTGCTGCATTGCAATATCCATTGGCAAAATACAATCTCTATTGTACGTAGGAAAGATTATTCTAACTGGCAATGTTGTTACTTGTAATGCTACAATCGCGTGCACACACACGGCAAATACGTCCTGTCTTTTGGTGTTTCCCTTCCGGCCTCTTTTACTCACACAATTGATATCAAAAGAAATAGCAATACCCAACACTGGATTACCGTTAATTTCAATCAATCGCGACCGATGAATTGTTTGGCGACTGCCAACCCGATGAAAAATTTTTTATGCAAAATTTTGTATGAAATTTGTCCATACATAATTATGTATAATTATATATCATCGTATGAAATTATATATAATTATATACAATTATGTATAACAATATGTATAATTACATATAAATTTATGCGTAATTATGTAAAATTATATATGAATTTATATATATAATTATACATAATTATATATAATTATATATATAAGTAGAATGTATGAACATGAATGGACAAATTTGATACATAATAATATATAATTATATATAATTATATATTTATAATTTTATATAATTTTATATAATTAAATATGAAAAATTTTTCATTGGAAAACCTTGGAAAAAAACATAAATAAACACGTATTTCTCCCAGGGATTATCAATCGTCATCAGCAACACAACACACACGTACTTGTTTCACCACAAGAAGCACGATAAGCACAATCACTGATGCACATAGCTTAGCCGATTAGAAGACGATGCAAGGAGAGGAAAACTCCGTTCTCACATCGCAATGTCAACAACGCGCGACTGCAGTGTGCGCGGCCATGTTTACAGAAATGTTCAGCTTAACGGTATAACTGCCCGTACAGCGCACAGCCGACTTTAGCGCGCCTAGTGACAAAGAGAAATGTAGCCATCTCTAGGTTCGCGATGTGTATCTCCTTAGGTCTTTTTTCTGCACTGCTGAACTGGTGCTATAAGTTAGAGTGAGACAAGTATACTTTTTCTCGTTCTAACTTATTACACAAGTTCAACTGTGCAGGAACGAAAAACAAATCTTTTGACAGGTCGACTCCAATTATACTCTGCGCTAACGCTGTATAACGCGGTTGTTTCAAAGGCGAAAGATTATTGTTGCAAACTCGAAAGAGAAGTTCATTAAAATATTTGGTTACCTTGATAAGAGCAGATTTTCTAAGAGTAAATGCTCTAAGTGGCTTCCGTTCATATCAATACAGGCCTGCATGCGTCTCAACAAATTTTGTGGAATCTTCCTTAAATGTTCTTTTTAATTTCCCAAATGGCTTGGTGTAGTTTAAAATTTAATTCTTCCTGGTAGGAATTGGCATCGGTAAACATCAATATTTGGCATCAATGCTAACATCGTCATAGGGAGCGGTGTATTTGGACACAGTACAATTAGACACGTTGCAAAAGGACACGACACTTGATACGGTTCTATTGGACACGGTACGTTTGGACACAGGACTTTTAGGCACAGTTGCTTTTGGACACGAGAGAAAATTCACGACGTTCAGTTACACACCGTTCATTTGAACACCGTTTACTTGGACACATTTCAGTAGGACACCGTTCAATTACCCACCGTTTACTTGGACACAGAAAAATGCGCACTATTCACTTGGACACCGTTCACTTGGGCACCGTTCACTTGGACACCGTTCAGTTGCCTACTGTTCACTTGGACACCGTGCTTAAGTTCACAAAAGACTGCGAGCCCCACCTGCCTCGGTGTGGGGGGTCTGGGGTACGAAGTCCCCTAGTCACATCGCTAGAGACAGACACCTTTTATTAATATTGAACGGTGGGTAATTGAACGGTGTCCAAATGAACGGTGTCCAAGTGAACGGTGTCCAAGTGAATAGTGTCCAAATAAACGGTGTCTAAGTGAACAGTGCGCATCCTTCTGTGTCCAAGTGAACAGTAGGCGATTAAACGGTGTCCAAGTGGATAGGCAAGCAATTCCACGATGTCCAAGTGAACGGTATCCAAATGAACAACACGCATCCTTCTGTGTCCAAGTGAACAGTGAACGATTAAACGGTGGCAAATCAATATAGATCCACACTAGGCGCGGCCACAACAGCGGCGCGCAGTGACCGGCTTTCTCAAAAGAAAAAAAAACGAAAGAAAAAAACGAATGTATATAAAGGCAAACACAACGGGAGATCATCGACTCCGCCGCTTTGGCACTCTCAGCCTTTGTAAGCACAATTGAAGAGCCATCGGCATCCGCTGAGGAAGCGACACGTCGATATCAGGCGCTGAAGAAGCGTCCGCATCGGCATCCGCTGAGGAAGCGGCATCGCGACATCGGGCGCTGAAGAAATGTCCAAATCGACATCGGACGGGTGTATATCAGTTGGACATGGGGCAATTGGACACAGTCCAATCACAAGTCGCTGTTCCAAGGGACCCTACAAATGTCTCTAATCACACGGTGCTGTGATTGGCTGTGTCCAAATGCACCGTGTCCAAGTGCACCGCTCCCACATCGGACAGTGAAGAAGCGTCCGCATCGATATCCGCTGAGGAAGCGGCATCGGGCACTGAAGAAGTGTCCGCATCAAGAGGCAGCTCAGGACGCGAATCTGTCATCCCTAAGAACCAGTTCTCCGGCACGGGGACGCAAGAAACCGGCTCCTAAACGGTGACCATCGGAAAGACTCCGAAATCGACTCGTGGAGCTCTTAGGGGAAGACTTCCCCAAAGTCCCCAAGGTTACGCCTTCAGGAACGCCAGCACCAGGCGACGAACTGCGGCGTTCTCCGCGTCCGAGAACGCCTTCGCTGACGCGGGAACTAACACTCGCCTCTCACCTGGGAGTTACCAGAGTCTCCACCCAGCGCGACGATACGCGCTGCATCCGGAACCAAGAGTACCGGAATACCATAGGTGCTTCGGGCAATCGAGATCTCCGAATAGCTATTGACTCGGCTACCTTTAAATATTCTAAAGGTGGGACGACCGCTGTTCCCACGCTATAGATCCGAAGACGACTACAAGACTACTAAAGGTGTATGAAGGTCACAGGACCAGAGCCCCTGAAACAGAAGGACCTGAGGAAAAAAGAAACCCCGGAAACAGTTAAACGCAGCAGCACAAAGAACAATTAAAAGAATGACACTGACACTACACATACATGTAAATAGGAACACTAAAAAATAAATAATATGTAAGCGTACAAGGAGTTGTTCCATCTACCTCTCCATCCCTGCGAACGAAAGATCATACTTACTAATCCTCCTAAAACAGTGTCTAAGTGAAAAGGCAAGCAATTCCACGGTGTCCAAATGAACAACATGCATCGTTATGTGTCCAAGTGAACAGTGGGCAACTGAACGGTGTCCAAGTGAACGGTGTCAAAGTGAACAGTGTGCATCCTTCTGTGTCCAAGTTAACAGTGTCCAACTGAACGGTGTTTAAATGAACGGTGTGTAACTGAACGTCGTGCATTTTCTTTCGTGTCCAAAAGCAACTGTGCCCAAACGCACGTGTCCAATTGAACTATGTGTCAAGTGTCGTGTCCATTTGCAACATATCCATTTGCAACGTGTCCAATTGCACTGTGTCCAAATGAATACCACACTCGTCA